GCTGGTTGAATACCTGTCAACAAAAAAGAATGATGCTGTCGGGTACAACTCATTCCGTACGCTATTGTTGAGGTTTTCGTATCGACACCGCTTCCGTCATCGGGTCCCATGCAAAAGCAAGCTCTCCCAACAAGTGCTTGACGACATGTGGCTCGGATACGCTGCGTCGTTCTGGAACAAGTACAGCGAGTACGACAAGAGCCAAATTTTGAATGTGGACGAGACAGGTGTGTTCTACGATATGCCACCCGGTAAGACACTCGCAGAAATCGGAATGTCCAGCAAGGTTTCGGATGGCGAGAAACACTCCGACCGCTTGACAGCAGTACTGACGATACGAGCGGATGGTAAGAGATCTCTTTATGATGTGAGCTTATGTTTGCACTGTACAGGCGTGAAGCTGCCCTTGCTCTTCATTCTCAAGGGACAGCATGGAGGTGTCATCGAGCGACAAGAACTCGACACGTATCCCCGCGGCCATCACTATGCCGTCCAAACAAACGCTTGGATGGACGAGCGTGTCTGGTCCATTTACCTCGACGAGATACTTGCACCTCAAGTGGAGGATGCTTCTGTTTTATTGGTTGACAATTTGGCGTGCCATGTGTCTGATTCATCCTACGACAAAGTTGCGGAGACGCGTTGTGGAGCCACTGCCACCAAACTCAACTAGTCGATGCCAGCCACTAGATGTCGGCGTTATGGGCCCGCTTAAAGCCATGCTGAAGACTGCGTGGCTTTTGGAAGAGGACGACAGAATCGGAGACGAAGTCTTTACCGCTCAAGAAAAGCGATTAGCAATGGTAAAAAGAACCATTAGTGTGTGGGAAAAGATATCAACTCAAACAATTGTGAAGTCATTCGAAAAGGCTATTCCAAGTGTGTTAGAAATATAACTCAGGAGGTTTCTGAGGGTAAACCCCCCTCCTGAATCGATTGCGCTTGTCAGATAAGGCATTGGCCTCGATTTCTCACGAAATGTGACACCTATATTTGTAACGATACACCGATCCTGAGTGGTTGGAATTATGGTGTTTACGACCAATCAGAAGCCAGAGTCGCATCACACCACAAACTTGAAGCAGTGAATTTTTTTATAATTTGCTCGAAAGCCATACCACTCTACATACAAAATCCAAGACAAAAAATAGTGCAACTGACCGAGTTTAGCTGCAAGTCACTGTAAGGCTCATAACCAGTGGAGAGGGCAGGAAGCAGCAGCAGACAAGTGTGTGGATGGAGGAAGAACTGAAAGTATATTAGTTCTGACGGGAGAGAAAAACAGCCAATCAGACTACACTATGATTGGCCACGACATCTGTGATGTTTCGTGACAAATGTCTGCGCTGTCTTCTACCTGAGGAAAAGCCTCTAAAAGGCACAAAAACCTCCTACACATCTAGCAGAATGCTGCTACCTGACTGACAGGGCAGTGGGGATGTTCTCTAACAGAACAGGGTGTTCTGACTCGAGGTACCACAAAAGCATGCATATGCGGAAAAAAAATATTGCGTCCGCAATATTTCAAAAGAAATGAAATATCCGGGCGGGGAACGTTTTCAAGGTGAAACGACGCGAATTCCGAATGCAAGACCGCAGAGAGCGATAGAAATTGTGTCAGTACAGCAGCCAATATACCTCTCCTACAACTTGGATGACTGCGATGAAACTCCAGATTTTGCTTTCGCCTACCATGAATGCCTGGGTTTTGGCCTTACGTTACTTTGTGTTGTGATAAGTTTTCGTCCAGTTCCCGCATTTCCCCGTTGAGAGAAAATGTCAATAGAAACATGTGGCACTGTCTCATCAGCTGCGAGAATCAACCAGCAGCGCTCTACCGCCAATCTCATCCCTGGGCATTACTCCTGCGTCGTTCACATGAGGAAATGTACACACACACACACAAAGACTACTACGTAGTTGTACACTCTGGTCGTCGTGCCGCGTCGACACACCAGAATTGAATATGGGCTGCACAACTTCGAACCAGAACACTGTCGACATACCCTTGTCTCAGCCCCCCTTAGCCCCGGACCAAGACCGACTTCAACATGAGACCGTCACCTTCGACAACAACTCGCAGCCCACCGTGGTGGACAGCGACCACACCTTATTGGACCACGACCGACTTCAACATGAGGCCGCCACCTTCGACAACAACTCGCAGCCCACCGTGGTGGACAGCGACCACACCTTATTCCAGTACGTACCTCGCAATACAATTCACTAAGGCACGTCTCCAACCTGGCGACGTAGGGTGACGTTTTGTATGTGCTCACTTCATGTTTACATACATATATCTACAGCTTTCGAAAAGGGGTTTGCTTGCCAGGGGTGCAGTACATCGATCGACTGATCTGTTTATTGTGGTAGGCCCTACAGCGAAAGCAGCTGCGCTCCCCCCAGTCCAAAGCAGCTCCCGTTGGTGA